GAAGTTCTTGAATAGCTGCACAAATGGCAGCTTCTCAAGGAGGGCTCAGGTCCATGATGTTAGTTAGTCATTATGATAGACGCATGAGAAGGGGCTGGAATAGTGAGACAGTCTGCTTGGAAGGTTCCCAGGCTGTGCCCGCTCGTCCTTCTCATAGAGGTACGTTTGAGGGTAGGTAAAGATTTAGGAAGTGAAAAGGGTAAAGGACCAAGACGTGGACTTCGACATGAGCAGAGGAGGGAACATGCGCAGGTGCTTTACTACGCGTGATCGAAATTTTAAATGTATGAGACTGAGTCTCATTTTAGGACCGACGGTCAGTCGGCCGGTCTCGCTTGGCATGAAGCACCCATCTGAGGCTGGTGACCAGATCTTTATTACTGTTTGACAGTTACGGTCTTGTTCTTTGTGGGCGCCCTCTCTGACGAGAGGACGGGTCTGTCTTTCGTATATGCTAATGGTTCTTGCCAGCCCAGTCCTTCTCGGGTCCGAGTCCCTTGTTACTCACGACCATATATTACTGTCTCTGCTTTAACCGTTTAAAGTGGTTACTATATGTACCACCTGCTGTAACACACTAAAACTGTGCATTGTGCCCATAGCGTATTTATATGTTCCATATGACTGTCATAATAAACAGCGAATGTTTCCCTAAACAGCATTAACCGGTTGGGCTCTGTAACGGAGACGTAATGTGTTTCCTGTGAGGTACGGACTGCTCTTATATAATATAAGGAATGCAGTCTTTAAAATGTTAAAGGTTTAACTGTAAATTACGTTTCAGTGGTGATCTGTATTTAGTTTCTTGTCTATAATGTGCGTTTGAGGTGGAACATTTCCGGCGAAGATTTGTGAATTATACCGGAAGCTTCTACCGGATACAAAGAGGCGTCATCTGCATTTGCCGGTCTTTTCTTCATCGATGTTTGGTACAAAATGCAGGTTCCTCCCTTCCTCTTGCATTTCGCATGTCGCCAAGTAGCACCACGCCCCGATATGGCTCAGCGCTCCCCACCATTACGAGACTAACATCCTAGAAATGGTCCCGCTTACCCTTTCTACTTGTCTCGGTGTTTCAAGAATACGTGTATGGTGAGCACAGTGGAAACAAGTTTCCGACCTCGTTTCCATACCAATGTGTGGTGTGGCGTCCTTTTATTTCAGACGATCGTATGACCTTGACTTTCTGCAAAATGGATTCCCAGAAAAACCAGAGAATTCGGTATGCTTGAGCCGCTTCTAGTTATACCCGACTTGGTGCGATGCAGCATCTCAGTGACACTTCCCCTGATTGGTTAGGTTGGTCATGGCAGTATCATTAACTGGCCACCAAGATCTCCTGACCTAACCTCGTTAGACTTTTGTTTATGGGGTTGGATGAAGAGCGAAGTGGTTACACGAGACGAAATGCTCGATCACATAATGGAGGTTATTTCCCGCATAAAGGAACGTCAAGATGCACTCATCCGAGTTGCAAAGTGCATTGATGTTGACGGTGGAATTTTCGGAAATGTATTATACTTGGTAAACTGTACCAACTTTGTGACTTGTAACAATATATACCGGTATTAGTAACAGTACGTAATATCTCTTTCTTATAAACAGTTTTGGAAGTGTACAGAGAAATAGCTCTATCTCGAAAACCGTTCGGAGTTGGACACATTTGCATAGAATTGTCGATACTATGACCTCCCCCGAATACTGTCGTTTCCGCATGAGACACTCTGTATAGCGTCAAATGGTAGAAATACTGAGGAACAATGAATTGGAAAGGATTTGGAAGGAAATGGATGTGACATAGTCGAGGTATTAACCCGGCATTTGCCTGGAAAACTGTAGAAACACACTAAAGACTTCACTCACTATAGCCGGTGTCCACGCCAAGATTCGAACCCAACACCTCCCAAAATACAAGCTTAAAGCGTTACCTGTAGGCCTGCCTTTTCGTCAAGAGAAAAGTTCAATTCCTACCATAGAAAACACTTCGTCTTCATGACAGAGACCAACCTCTTAATTATCTCTGTTCTGACAATCATACGAAACAAATGGAATGGTGCATATAATTAACACTATGCTTCAAAGTGCCCTCTCAAGTCAGTGTCGCGAGACTAAATGGTAATATAAAGATAGGCTTACCTTCGAAATGTATTGAAGTTGGGAATTAATTATTTGGGAAGTGCCAATAATACGCGGAACATTCTCCCTCTCACTTTCCCACTAGACACTTGCCGATAGAAGCACATAAATCTGCAGCTTTAGCTGTTGTTTTGCATGGCTGTAAAACTTGGTCTCTGACTTTAAGGGAGGAACATAGACTATGGATGTTCTGAGAACATGGTGCTGAGACAGTGAAGGTGGCCGAAGAATGGAGAAAACTGCTTTATGATGAGCTCCATAACTTGTACCGTGCACAGAGCATGATTAAGCAGGATGAAAAGAGCCGGCCACTCAACACACTCGGAAAACATTAAGGTAAGAGACCACTGGGAAAACCTAGGCGTAGATGGGAGGATAACATTTCAATTCAGCTTAAGTAAGTATTTCTATTGCTAGTGGGGTTGGACTAAGTCCCTTGTACTGCGGCCACTTCTGGCCTATTGTACCAGCCCCAGATGATAGGTGAGGGTGATTGTGGAGCAATTGGTGGAATGAAGACTGGCAGGAGAAACCGAAGTACTCGGAGAAAACCTGCCCTAGCACCACTTTGTCCACCACAAATCCCACTTGATCAGACCCGGGATCGAACCCGACCCGCCGCGGTGGGAAGCCAGCGACTAACCGCTTGAGCTATGGCGCGGCCCATGTAAGTAAGTAAGTAAGATGTGACAGAGTGGACTGTTTTTATCTGGCTCAGGATGGTGTCTTATTGGATGGCACTTGTGAATGTTGGTCAGCTTCCATAAGAGACGTGGTGTGTCTTGATTAGCTTAGCAACTGTCAGCGCCTGAAAAAATGACGTTTCTCCTTGAAGTAAGTTGAAGTATATTCCAATCGTAACATCCAGTGCTGAGGAAACAGAAAACAAATATTTCAAGAAACTGTTCTAAATAAACATTTTAAAGTAAAACGACGGTTGACAACAGAGAGACTCGGCGGCAGACCCACCCGACTGTAGCGGTCTATCGACACACTGTATTACTACAATGTCACGCAGCATCGTTATGATTTTATTGTGTAGAGCGGTAATAACATTGTGCGACTCTTGACCCTATCCCGAGCCAGAGGAATCAAGCCTACACCCTCATACCCTGTTTTTTGAGGTAAAAATGGTAAGGCTACCTTGTAAGAGGCCGTGGAGGCCGTGGAGACGTCGAGGTTCCCACATTTTCTATACAGTCAGCTCACAAAAGGCGGTGAAGTTGTCAGCCTACCACTATCTGCGCTTCATGCGGGTGGCTTCGTCACGTTGATATGGTACGCCCTGTTCTTGTAGGCAAACCTACCTTTTTCCGTCCTGGTGTACCGTGTTTCTTATCGGACCTTTATAGTAACCATGTCTCTTCCTCCTTTATCACTTTTACCAATATCCGCCTCCGGTTTCGCTGACAGGAAGCTTCAGTCGTCTACAGTCAGCGCGCACTGAAGACGGAGACTCTGTTGCTCATCGAAAAGTCTGGTGACCAAAATTCGGCTACAACGACATTCAGAAATTCTGGAAGAGAGAGAGGGAAGGGGGATAGTAGGGGACGGGGCAACAAAACTTACCGGCTTTGAAGGTTCCCAGGCTGTGCCCACACGTCCTTCGAATACGGATTCAGTGGAGAGAGGTAAAGTGTCGGGAAGTTGGCTTCTTTATGAGCAGAAGAGAGAATTTGAGCTAGGGATTGTGGACTTATAGAGTTGGAAGCACTGCATTAGTATACTAATACAGTTCGTACCTCACAGGAAACACATTACGTCTCCGCTACAAAGCTCAACCGGTCAATGCTGTTTAGGGAAACAGTCGCTGTTTACTGTGAGAATCATATGTTACACTTAAATACACTGTAGTGCCAGAATTCACACTCATTTAATCTTACAGCCAAATCAGTAAAATACACAACTTATAAATGAACCCGTGCATACATGTATTATATTCTTCTATAAACAGAATAAACTATGATGCTTAAATACAACAAACTTTGGGTATTAGCTGCTTTTGATTTGGTCAATACCAAATTACTTAATATTAAGGCAGTCTTGCAATCTGCACAGCCATTACAATACGGTAATGAATGAACTGTCCACATATCCGACCAGAAAGTCAAGGAAACTTAACCATGACTGTACATAAACTTTCAAAGTAATATAATGTAAAATAAATGTCAACTCTTGATTTAAATTATCCAAGCCAAGCAGAATTATGAATATAATAACAACAAGTAACAATTTTGGTCTTATTAAAGACAGCTCACACACACACACACACACACTTAGTTGTATCACCGGTGATCACAAGTGGTACTTAGAGTAACCACTGTAATTTTAGTCAGGTTAAATTATTTGTGTATGAAACATCTGTGAAGATTTATGCTTTATTATTTTATAATTAAAGCATTTAAAATTTTGAAATATTAAGCCTATGTTAGCAAAAGCGAGTTTGCTAAACGTGACAATTATTTTGGACAGCCTCGATCAGGAAAGGGAGCCAGCTCTTTCTACTAGGTCACCTTCATGGAAACCTTTCTTCCCTTGCAACCAACAGCGGAGGCAAATGTAACTACCGAAACGGTGTTACCATAGCAACAGTCAGGTGCTAAGCCCGTGTGTAAGGGCCCCCATGCACACACAATTTGGCCTTCCGTTCGGCCTGCACAGTTGAAGACTGAAAGGCAAAACTGATGTGTGTGGTGCGGCCGGCCGGCCAATCGTTTGGACTGTTGGCCTGTGGGAAACCCGTCAGTCCGTCAGTTCTACCTGCAGGACCGTAGCACGTGACGTGTGTGACAGCATTATAGGCTGGAAGACCGTGATTGTGGCATGAAGCCTGCCGCTTTATCTGCGCGTGTATGGGGAGGAAAGGGAGGGGGTAAACTGTGAAAGTTTTGCCTGTAAGGTCGATCGGAAGGCCAAACTGTGTGTGTATGGGGGGCCTAAATCACGGGTCTGCCGTCCTTCCGTAAAGTAGAGCTACATATACATATGTATGCATCTAACGAATTAATATTGCACTTCGCTTTTTTCTCACGTATTAATCCACAGACTGTATGTGACGACACTCCCATATCAATATAAACGAGATTCAGGATTGTTACTAACATGTGTAAAGAACTCAGCTGTTCCCAATACATGATCATTAAAATGTGCCAATATAAAACGTGTCGAACGGTTAAAAATCCTTAATTTCCTTAAAATGAGAGGAACTTCTTGACTAGATGAGCGAATGTGGAGTTAACGAAAACGTTCCCTCAAAATGTATGCTTTTGATGGCAATTTTGGAACCATAGTTTCTGTATGGTATTGGTGTGCAGTAATCGCTTTACGTATTTACAGAGTACCGAATTACTGTAGTTTACATCACAGGTTTAACTTATTTGCGGACAGATTAAGTAAATCTGAAAATATCGTCAGTTGTCATTTCACTCGAAAACTTTAAGTGGTGATTACGCAATGTCGTTACGTCAGAAAGTAAGAGCATGTTCGGCACCAGAAAACTGTGTGAATGTGCCCGTGTACATGGACATCTAATTCATTTCGTAAGTTTTAAAAATCTACTATTTATATGAAAATATATTTTCTCATGCTTCTTAATATATTTCTTTGCTCTGTCCTACTGTTCAGGCCTCTCTGCATCCAACTCGGTCGCCTCATCTTCGGCGTCGGCCTGCCCCTGCACTGTTGGGAGTTCTGAGCCCACTTTTTCCCAAATCCACCTTCCGTCTAATGGAACTTCTTTCTCAAAGTCAAAATTCCATTTAAGCTTTGCAGTTTCCAGGTGACTGCGTATTTCTTCTTCAATGTTTAAGGACTCATTGCCCATTTGAGGACCCTCGCTGGTTCCTGTGGCAGCCTCTCCAGGATTCTGCACATCATCAAAATTGAGACGCCTGCACACACTGGGCTTCTGTTCCATCCTTTGACGGGAATCCGACAGACAACCCTGGAACATGCCATGAACTCAATATAGACAGATCAACTTTAATAGTACCCATGGTTTATGCTAACCGTCTTACAGTGTGTACACTTTTTTTCTTTTTCACCTTATTCTTCACTTCCACACTACATGTTTCAGCACTAATGTGCCATCCTCAGGTGTCTTTATGCACGTTAAACTATTGTACTGCATGCCGTGATGTCTTCATTCTAAAATGATGTGTTCTGTGTTGTGTTTTGCTCCTGTTACTGCATGCATTGTACTGCTGGATATGTGTGTGGGTGTGTGTGTGCTGTCTTCATTTTGGTTGTGTTACGGACATGAATCAGTGTAACAGGACGCTAAAATATAACATTTTTAATAGTATCAACTGTTTTCTCAAGTCCGTAAGCCAGACGCTTTCGAGCTTGGTGACACCGCCACCCCCTACAATAATACATACATTTACGCACCCCCTCTCACCCCAATCTCTGCCGGTTAGCAAGAAACCAGAGTTCTGCACGTGACAGCAACAACCATAATAGCTTTGCATTCTCTGTATACCTACAGCAAGGTATGAAGTGTTCTTGTACAGGCACTAAAGAAATTTCGAAACGTTTCGCCTGTTGCAGGAATCTTTTCCCAAAGCGTCTATGTGAAATCAGACCGATTTTCCTACACTTTGCTTGGGTACAACTTCATTTTAATATTTCTTGGGAACTTGGCGATGCCCACAATTTTAGAAAATATGCGTTAAGGATCAATGCACATCCCCAGTCCGACAGATGTGTCGCGCTCACCAGTGGTGTGCTGGTTTCCTTTGCGAAGAGCACGCGTTGTATGTGTCGGACACAGAGCGACCTCACAGACTCACCCTGACGCTGTTTGTAACAGTAGGCATGATTTTCCAGAACTGTTCAAACTGCTGAGGCTACTTATCTCTAATGAAGTTTCGACGCGCTATATACCAGCTACAGAGTGAAGAATTGTTGGGATGTGTACTAGAAACATCCCTCTCCGCGGCATCGCGTGGCCTGACCATGGCCGGTTTGCATATCTTTTGTATACATAGGTGTGTTCAAAAAGTATCGAACCTTCTCTTTTCCCGCGTAAACCAATGAAGCGCGGGAGACTCCCTTCGGTGGAGATGTGGAGGGGAAATTCATGCGCAGTCGTGAATTTTTTCCCGCCCGCAGAAAGCTTCAGTCGCTGGCAGTCGGCCTATGAGTGACGACGTGTAGTGAGCGCTCGTCGGATTCCAGTATAATGACGGAACATGAGGAGTGATATTGCATCAAATTTTACCAAAAGCTTGGCGATACCCAAGTGGAAACCATTCGCAAGATTCAACAGGCTTTCGGGGACGATGCCATGAGCAACTCACGGATAATGGAGTGGTACAACCGTTTCAAAGATGGCCGCACATCAGTGGACAGCGAACCGCGTTCAGGCAGACCCTCAACAAGCCGAAATGAGAATGTCATTGAGCAAGTGCAGACTTTGGTCATGGAGGCCCGTCATATCACAGTCCGAGAACTTGCGAACGAGATAGGGGTAAGCATTAGATCGGTACATTCAATTTTGACCGAGGATTTGTGCATGAGAGTGCCCGCGAAATTCGTACCGAAACTGCTAACAATGGAGCAGAAGCAGTGCCGTCTGGAAATCGCACAGGACATGCTGGACAATGCAAACAGTAACCCCAACTTTCTGAACACCGTGATCACAGGCGATGAGTCGTGGGTTTATGGGTACGACCTGGAAACCAAAATTCAGTCGTCACAGTGGAAACATCAAACATCCCCGAGGCCAGAAGAAGCACGGCAGGTCCGTAGCAATGTCAAAGTCATGTTGGCCATTTTCTTCGACTCCCATGGGGTTGTGCATCATGAGTACGCACCACAAGGCCAAACCATCACGAAGGAATACTACCAGGAGGTCCTTCGTCGCCTTCGTGATGCTGTGCGGCGCAAACGACTGGATCTGTGGGCAGCAAAATCTTGGCAGCTCCATCATGATAACGCACCCCCCATTCTGCGCATCTGATTCAGAATTTCGTCGCCAAACACAACATCCCTGTGGTTCGTCAGGCTCCCTACTCCCCCGACATGGCTCCATGTGACTTTTGACTATTTCCCAAGCTGAAAATGCCGCTGAAAGGAACCCGATTTGAGTCAAGAGAAGACATCACGCGGAATGCGACGGCCCGGCTGATCACCATTCCAAAAGACGCATTCCAGAAGTGTTTCCAACAATGGCGGAAGCACTGGGAGAAGTGTGTGCATTACCAAGGAGACTACTTTGGAGGGGGTTAGGGTTTTATACCTCCAAACCAATAAATGTATTTCTGCCGACCAAAGGTTCGATATTTTTTGAACAATGCAACTTATCCTCTGGTTGCCCTTTTTCCTCATTACCTGTTTCTGTAGTATACGGCCATCATCACGTGCTGTCTGTCTTGCTAAAATTGTTGAACTATTATTAGATCCAATCATACGGTCTCTTGGTCAGAATTCGGTTGCCTAGCAACAAACGTGCCGTCTTGCATTCAATGCAGCATATCAGCAGGCTTCAAATCAATAACCCGCGTTTTTAGACGCTTGCTAATCAACGTGTGATGTCCTCCGTTTAGCCCCGGAACGGACAACTTCACAGTCGCTAAACCCTGCAACTCTCAGCTTTAGACAAGTACACGTATTTCCCTGAGCTTCTTGTTCTCCAACGAAACTTCGAACCGTAAAATTGGCAGCAGCGCCGTTCGCATGTGAACTGCACATACAAAAGGCGAAGTTGTCCCTATGCTTAATTAATTAAGCACCGCATCATAAAGACGTGGAGGTATAGCTCCACCATTCCTCACCTCGGCACTAGATTGAGGTGAGTGGTCGGTCGCCTCCTGTACCCATTGAGTAGGAGACTGAGAGGAGCCCAGAGCCCTTCTGGACGCTGTGGAGGAAGGAAAAATCTATTGCCCTTGCCGGGAATTGAACCCCGGCCGTCCAGCCCGTAGTTCGTCACTATACTGACTGAGCTATCCCTGCTCCGAATTACGGAGGTATCGCAAAGCTCCACGCTTTCTCGACCTAGACAACAGATTGATGTTAATGAAGGGTTTCACGTTCCAGCCGCATTGATCGCCCATTACAAGCTTGCTGTGTCGTAGAGTCTGTCTGCTTTGGGTTCAAAGGGTCGCTTTCCCAGCAATGAGCAGCTGTGAAGTACATTAGCCCCGCGACGCGATTCTCTTACAGCACAAAACAACCCTCACGGAGTCATAAATATCCCTAACTGGAGGTCCAACAAGCAGGAAATAGAAATGCAACCCCTACGAAACCACTCGACAGCCCGCGTCAATACGACGAGATGAGGGCACGGTTACTGCAACGTGGCGCTCTCATGTCCTCCTGTCGTTGCTTATTTCACGACCATCTCAGCATCGGTACTGCACAGCGGCGCACGGAGAGGTGACTGACGAATCCAAAAGAATCTCGAACGAAGTGGTCGTGGCCTAATCGAGGTACTATCGCAGTATGTGTCTGCAGGGACAACTGCAGCCTCGACCGAGATTCAAACCAAGCGTGTCCCTGCTCGGTGTGAGGGGCTTCGTGCTGGATCCAACGCTTCGAAGCAGGAAATTAGGAAGACAGAAATAACATAGCAAGCTGATGGCCTGGTACCTCAATTTCGAGCACTGAAGTTATTCAGGACCTGAGCAATGCTCACTGACCTGGGTGTTCGTGAACTAATATGTTGATTCATATGAGGAACAGAAACCAACACATGAAACACGCGACCAGGGGAGCGGCACAGAACAGCCGCAATAAGATAGGAAGAACAAACAGCACATAACACCAACAGCGGCGCACTTTAAGAGTGCTATTGATAAAGTGCATAGGACAGTGGATTCCTTAATAATATATTGCCTGAAGATGGCCCTGTGTGGCCGAAACATGTAGCGCATAAGCACAGAGTGTACATATATATTTTTACTGTCATTTTAACCAACATTTTAGTGAATCAAACGTGGACTAGTAACACCTAAACCTATATTCATAATAGACATCTGCTGCTTCATGTTGGACAGTAAGTCTGGCGAACTTTGGCGGACACGGGCAGCCGTATTTTGACTGTTTAACTGGGGGGGCACTACACAAGCCGGAAGATCGCGGGTTCTATTCCCGATGAGGTTACTGGATTTTTTTTTCAATCGACCTAATCCTTCCAGCCGCACTATGGCCCTGGAGTCGACTCAGCCTCTAACAGAAATGAGTACCAGGAATCTTCCTGGGGGTTAAAGGGCGGCTGGCACGTAAGGCTGACAACCTCACCGCCATCTGTGAACGGATTTTCTAGAAGATATGGGAGCCTCGACGTCTCACAACCCTATAGGCCTCCACGGCCTGTTGCAGGGATGGCTTCACTTTTAGTTTTTTACCTTTCTAGTTCTGGGGCCTCCAGAGCAAGGGGTGTAGTTCTGACGCATCTAACTCGGGAGGGCCGCGTGAAAAGCAAGCATTAGGATCTTGGAACTTGGGAACCATATCAGAATTTTCCATGGGTTTGAAATTCATTCTCACGTATATTTAAACATTCAGTTCCTACATCACAGAAAAAAACACCAAAACTCCGTTACAAAGACCAACGTGTTAATGTTGTTTATGGAAATAATCACGGTTTATTGTGAGAACCATACGAATATGCAGAATGTATGAATATTAAAGCAGGTGGTACACAGTGTAAGACAATCTGACCCCAGAGTGCAGCTGTGAGCCGAGTGGAGCTTGCCATTAGCGCGCCCCACACACCGGCTACCATTATCACTAATTAGTCTATAATTGAAACATCCTCATGACCCCAGGGTACTCCCACGGTACTCCCACGGCTCGGCGTCTCGCGCCTTCAGTTAATTGGTCGGTCCTCGTGCCCTGCCAATTGCGCACAAACTTATTTAAACCGAGGGTCTTCACCCGGACATTTTCTGGCAAGTTGCGCATTTCAGTTAATAACGTTAGAAAAGTAGGGTGAAGTTGTCTCAGTGTTTCATTAACCACAATGCCATGAAGAAATGGGCTACAGGGAAGTGGAGATATAGCTCCACACATTCTTAACCTAGGTGCTAGATGGAGGCGAGTGGTATCTACTGGTCCCCAGTGCCGGCTCGGACGCCGTAGGGAAGAGAATCGAACTCCGATTCCTTGGTCACGCAGCCAGTAGGTATCAACTATTTTCGTCGCTTGTTGGAACGAACCAAAAAACAAATTACGTTAACGACTGCGACAGTACGTGCTTCAGAGTAAGTACCGGAAGCAAGTTATAAGGTAGCCGAAATTATCGTCAAAGACAAAAAACCACACACAACAGCTGAAACATTGTTAATTCCCGCTTGTAAAGAGATGGTGAAAATAGTCCTGGGTTCAGAAGCTGCTAGTGAAATTTCAACAATTCCTCTCTCTGCTGACACAATCAGTCGCCGAGTTATTGACATGTCCAGTGACATTGAAGCCATTATGAAGGAGAAAATCAACAGGAGTCAGAAGTTCTCGCTTCAGATCGACGAGTCCACCGATATTAGAGGCCACGCACAACTTCTTGCTTACATCCGATACATCGATGGAGATGTAATTGCAACAAATTTCTTTTTTTGCAAAGAACTTCCCGAGTGAGCCACCGGTGAAGAAGTATTTCGTGTCACTAATGAATACGTTACATAATGAATTAAAATGGAAGGATTGCGTTAGTGTTTGTACAGNCCGTTTTGTGTCAGGCAATGGAATCAGACCACCCTACACTCCTACTACATACAGAAGTACGGTGGTTATCACGAGGGAAAGTGTTAACGCGAATATTTGAGCTTAATGAGGAGGTACGTGCATTTCTGACTGTTGAGGGGCATGAGTACGCGGATTTATTTGCGGATGATGATTGGGACTGTAAGTTGGCATATCTTCCCGACATTTTCGTACTTGTATTGTCAACGGTTCCACTACGGATCAGTTGGCTGTGCGCAGCTACGCAGGCGCAAGTACCATATTGAAGGCATGAGCAGAATTACTGTATTTACTTTAATAGTAATAGAAGTGCATTTTCTACACTCTACAGTGAATTAAAGTTAATTAATTGTTAATAAACGCACGAGTCGATTTCTGTTTAATGATAATAAAATAATAATATCATAATATTATAGTAATAAGTTGATCACGTTACGTATTTATATAAATTGACTGATGTCTAAAGCGACCAGGGCGTGAAGCTGACCTCTCTCATCTAGTGCCGAGGTCAAGAATGGTGGAGCTACACCTCCAATCCTACATACTTAAGTTCTTCACTAGGGCTCTTCGTCAGCAGAACTCTGCTCTACTCACAATACTGCATTTTTTGTACGCACGTATTTCCGTCTTAAATCCAGTCACTCTTGTCTTTCAGGTCTATCTTTTCTTTATTAATCCGGATAAACTCTTCCCCTGAATTATCCCAATTAGCGAGGATTACTGTGTTGGTTGATAATGCCGACTGCATATTTCAAAGGAATTTATCCTGTAAGATAGCTTTACGCTGCTTACCAGATTTTGTAGAGCTACAGCTGTAATAGAATTCGGTGCTGAGGAACCATGTACCCTGGCTAAAGGATCTCTTCCTGTACAGCGCACTGAACTCAACCCCACCGTGGCACCTTGGGAGAATGACTGCCGATCACTGCAATTAGGTTATGAATTGTAGGCGGTCCGCGAATCGATTGAAGAAGTACCTGATTCTAACCGATAGATGTCATTGTGTGTACCGCTAGGAGAACAAACGTTTATAAGAATTGACTACAGATGGCCGGATGGGCATTTCCTACGCCGTTTTTCAAATAATTCACATCGTCACGTGGAATCCTGCGTTACTAATACCGTCTGAGTTGCCCGATTCTTTTAATAAGTTAAATGGATTTAATGTTGGAACAAATTACAAACCTTTCGAAAGTTGGGGCAAGGTAAATGTTTTCAAGGTTTCAGCCATATAGTAAGGCAATAATAGGCTGACCCCCCCCCCGCCACAGGTATCGCTTGTTTGGCGTCATGGTTGGGGCTTGCATGGTCATATGATCCTGAGAGTTATGCCTGATAGGTCACGGGTGATAATCCAGACAAAAAGGAATCATTGTCGATGATATTAACGCAAAGCTGGGCTAAAACAGTTACGGGACGCGGCAGCTCGCATGATGAAAGCAATTTCATTTACACATAAAAGTATATATAAAGGAGTGTGGAGCTCACCAGACGGGGAACAGTTTGCTGCCTAATGAGTGCCGTTGCACAAATTTATCTGATTTTCCAAGTTTTAGAGCAGCTAATGCTAATGGTGGTCATCAAGTTATGAGGTTACTTATGTGAACTCTGATATGGCCCATCACATAAAGCTTAAAGTGGGCGACCAGGAATTTGAAACGCTAACCTCCTCTAACAGACCACAATAACATCTCTAGTGAAATAATGCGAAGAACTCTAATGGAAACTCGAGCTGGTTATGACCTAATGAAACAACTGACTTCACGTTATCTTGGGATGCAGACAAAATATGCTCTACATAATGCATGCACTTACCCATGGAAATGAAAGCTAACCCCTCAAACGGAAAGTTGAAAATATGCTCCGAATATCTGAGAGAAAGATACGGCCGAATCGAGCTCAAGGCATAACCACGAACCAGATATAGCGAAATTGACTAAAGCAAGGCGGTTGAGATGACGGGGACACCTTTGTAGAATGTAGGAGCAGCCCTGCTGCCAGGGGGGTGGATTCACTTGAAGAAGATCTGAAGACAGTGGGCGTTAGGAATTGGAGACGAAAGTCGCAGGATCGAGACCAGTGAAGAGCAATCGTAAAAGAGGCCAAGGTTCATCGTGAACTGTAACACCCGCAGAAGGAGGAGGTGGATTCATCACAATGATTCTCTCTGTTGTGTCTCTATCAGACCACTTTTTCTGTCTGAATTTTCGCACTTTCCAGAAACTTAGGCTTCTGTTCTGAGAAACTGTTGACGGAAGGCTGTCTGTCAGTAGCTGTCTTAAGCTCGTGAAGTGCTCTATCGGATGACGTTGTCCCTTTAATATGAAGGTGTGGCATCGAATTTATTGCACACCACGGACTGGTTTAAGCATTATCAAAACAGAGATAACAGCTTCATTCGGTTTAAAGGAAGCTATCTCACCCAACACCGAAAGCGGGGAGTTAGGGATGTCAGTGTTTTAAAGGACACAGGCTGCTTCATGGCTAATGTACCTCACAGGAAACACATTGCGTCTCCGCTACAGAGCCCAACCGGTTAAAGCTGTTTAAGGAAACAGTCGCTGTTTACTATGAGAACCATACGGAATATACAGATACACTGTGTGGGCAGAATATATAGCAATGCAGTCCGTACCTCACAGGAAACACATTACGTCTCCGCTACAGAGCCCAACCGGTTAATGCTGTTTAGGGAAACAGTCGCTGTTTATTGTGAGACCCATACGGAACATACAGATACACTGTGTGGGCAGAATATATAGCAATTCAGTCCGTACCTCACAGGAAACACATTACGTCTCCGTTACAAAGCCCAACCGGTTAATGCTGTTTAGGGAAACAGTCGCTGTTTACTGTGAGAACCGCACGGAACACACAGATAATATAGAGATTCAGTTCGTACCTCACAGGAAACACAAATATGGCTAGCTAAGCGAATGTTACCTTCCATAGGACTCTTACTCAGTGGAATTAGGTGCAGTCATACTGTGAAGCCAAGACGCAGGAAAGCATCATCAGGTCCGAAATGAGGGTAATTACACATCCATGGGCTACCTGAAGTCTGGTGAGGGACTGCGTGAAATTAATTTCGTATACTGTAGAACAGAGGCAGAAAGAAGGCAAGAGAAGTCTTGCCAATTTTCTTTTGTACAACTTTTCTGTGCACAAAATAAATAACGTTTAAGGAGAAGTAATCACCTGCTATCCCTCGATATGACACGGACCGCATGGAAAGTGAGAAAATTTGGGCAGTACATAGACAGCAGGCAACAGCGCTTATCATTCCAAGTTGATGACCAGAGAAAACTCCAATACCGGAATACAAAAAGTAACAGACACTAGTAGGATTACTGTATAGCCTTCACCACTACACAATAAACACAACCAGGAAACCACACACGACATCTGTATAAACACAATCGAATTAACCTACACAGATCTGTATCCATAGAAAGAAAATACACACATTTTATAATTACAAGACTCTTAGCAGCCGAGTAATACCATATAGAGCATTTTAATATTTAATATTTTGATCAAGGACATTACATCTCAATGTAAGGAACCAGATATAAGCATCGGGAGGGTGAGAGGGTGTACCGTACCTGATGGAGACCAAACGGACCGAAACCTGCGGTGTACCTATACAAAAAGAAAATTGTATTGACTGAAACTAATATAATTTAAACAGAGTTTGTTTGAAATGAAGGAGTCTCAAAATTTTGTACTTGTCGTGAACGAGAATGCGTCTTTTGAAATAACAGTGACCTCACCACCTGCAACGAAAACTGTTCAGAAACACTGTCCAGTTCCTGGAAATGTAGATATGATGCAGCTCTCACATACATCTCTTCCGTACAGTAAGATACAAATTATATTAAAATCTGTATCAGCAACTCAAAATGTTTATAAATAGGATGAAATAAACGCACGCGTCCCTCCATGTCTCGATTGTATTGCTGTCTGTCGGCATGCTCTCGTTGCGCCCACATACAGATGCTCAGCTGTTATCATAGCTAGTCATAGCCCTCACTCCATATTCCTTACAGAGGGGGAAAGACTTGCGTGTGACTGCTAAGTTTAGCTAAAGTTAGGCGCCATTGCTAGACTTCCGCTCAGTGCAGAATCCTGCCTTCTCGTCTGCTACGTCAAAACCTAAAGGTTAATTGTTCGAAACTATATTTTGCGCGTCTATGAACCGGGGGGAGTCTGCGGGAACTATAGGAAACTATTAACTGAGATTCATTTGGTGGTTTCTGGTTCTTAGCGATGTTTCCAGTGGTTCTGACATAATGTCTAATAACAGGACGATCGGTGAATTGGAAACCATGCGGAAGGAACCGGTCGTTGTCTGTTTCTAGGTACTATTTCCGCACATGCCTGGAGGGACTACTGAAACCCGTTGTTCCGTTCGTGATTCGTTCGAGGCACCACCTGAATGAAAGTGAGAAGCGTGCCGCTGAGCCAAGTCCCACCTCAGTATTTAGCACTGGGAGGGTGTCACAGAAGCATGTCTTTGTATCGAATCTGTATGAAAATCACACGTCAACGTAATCTCGTGACAAGCCGGAGCACTCTGTGGCGTCATTACTCAAGTAGTGAGTGTACAGCACTCAAAGGGTTAGTGTCAACTGTGACCGCTTTCATTGGTCATGTAATGAACACGAAAGTCTCCCACGCAGGAGGCGTATAGTTATCACTAAGACATTTCTTTGCTTGTTTAATTTCTTCATGCCTGACACGGTTGGTGTGCTATGGAAGGACAGGCCAGATTTGTATCCGACAGGAAGAACTTACGTAACTATGGGAACAGCCCCCTCCCCCGTCGGCGGCAGACAATGACCGCTGGTTTAGCTTTACATCAGGAGGTTGGGAATGACCTTCTGAGAAACTCTCATAGGAAAACACGAGACACCAAACCAATTGCACAGAGATACATATCTTTGATTACTGCATTAAAAAGAGCACAAAATTAGGCGGGCTAAACGGAACAAAGGCCGGTCACGGTAGCCGAGCGGTCTAAGACGTGCACTGTCTTCGCTCGCTCGGAAGCTGGGATCGTGGGTTCGAATCCCACTCAGGGCATGGATGTTTGTGTGCGTTTTTCTGTGTTTGCGACGAGCCTTGCGACGAGCTGATCACCCGCCCAAGGAGTCCTACCGTATGTCTAAGATCTAGAAAAACCGAAGTGAGCAGAGAAGTTGATGGAGGTAGGCCTAGGCCCACTGGGGCTGTAGTGCCAAGAAAAAAAAAGGGAACAAAGATAGTCGAGGCAGGAGGTAGACTGCCTTTCCTCTCCATTTTCTTGTAAAGTGTATACATACATGAGCGGTGGGAGCACGTTCCAAGCGGGAGCATTGCTTTCACACTGGTATATGCACTCACCGCAACCTCCTCCGTATGTCGGTAAATACGTGCGCTGCAGCTGATGTAACGGAGGAAAACACTGGAGTCGAGAAATCGAATCTACAAAATCCGTTGGCAACAAAAATTCGAACCGCATCCACGAGCGTTGGGTTTGGGCTCCTCACGGCTGTAACTGTGAAGACTGTTATGTCCTGGGATAAGACCGTTTCGCAAGACTTACTATCTCTAGCTTCAGGGTTGAAAAGTAAGCCAAGCAAGCCATAAGCCAGAGAGGTAAGGAGCAGTCGGAGCTATTAACGCTTCGGAGGAGCATACTGCTTTCAGCTTCAGGGTAGAGACAGCATGTTCCTCCGGAATGCTCTTACCCACCCATCAGACTGCACGGTGTCATAACCCAAAAGACCACAATATGAAACAGGGTGTGGCGGGCTTAATTCTTTATTATGATATGCGTGGTTTATGTCTTGTGGGGGGGGCCTCAAGTCAGACATCTGCCCTCCCGACTGGAATTTTAGAAAAATAACAAGTTCTGGGAATAACTAATCTCC